GTACCATTATAAACCCAACGAAAAAAAAATTAATTGGCCATGGTTTTGCATTAAAATTTCAATGTTGATGTGCCACATAATATTTTCATTTAAGTCATTCAGAAAAACAGAGCGCTATTTTAGTAGATCATCTGACAAGCATTGATTGAACATTTGCATAGTGTACATTAAGAATATATATGGTTAAAATGAAGTTATTTTATTTTGAAAATAAAGTGAGAAAATCGCCAAAATTAGCTGTCAGATCAACAACAGAGAGCTTAGTGCAAAATAAATATTTGAGTTTAGATGGCATAAAACAATTAAAAAACTGGATAAATTCAACCACAATTTTCATTTGTCAAAATTGTATAAACATTTTAGAATAAAATAACTTCATTTTAACCATATATATTCTTAATTTTCATGTACTATCTTTAATATGCAAATGTTCAATCAATACTTGACAGATGATCTACTAAAATAGCGCTCTGTTTTTCTGAATGACTGAAATAGCGCTCTGTTTTTCTGAATGACTGAAATAGCGCTCTGTTTTTCTGAATGACTTAAATGAAAATATTATGCGGCACATCTACATTGAAATTAAATCAAAACCATGGCCAATCAAATTTGAAAGTGGTTCAAATGCCTTTATATTTCAGTTTCTATTTAGCAAATTTATTGTAACATGTAGCTGAAGTAAACATTAACATCAGAACTGCTTTGTTTGGTAAGAGGTTGCCTTCTTTTACAAAAGGCTATTGATGCTGATTGGTAGATTTTTTGTTGTGACACCTACACAGTAATTTTGTCTTTGATATTAATAAATATATGTATTGTTCACGGGCATTGCCAGTTTCTGTCGAAAGTTGGTGGTTCCTTGGGCACTATGTGGGCCTCCGCCACTTTAAACTGCTCACCGCAAAATACTTGAGAAGCAAATAGTGCTGAAAATTGTGTTAATAACCAACAATCAATCAATCATCTTTATATAACAATGTACCAATATGTTAACTATTCATGAAGTGGCGAATTGCTAGAATTTCCAAATAAAAAATTTATGTAAGCAACATGTCTCAATTTATTTACAAAAAATTACGTAGTTTGATAGGATTAAATACTTCGGCCAGGCCAGGCACAATTTCAGTGGCTAGCTTATAATAGCTTTCACTTCCTTAGTCAATGCACCATGCAGTATAAGCAACCAAGAAAACATATAAATATTGAAATATCAAAGTTTCGTTTCCCCTTAAAACATGAATTTCCTGTGTATTGTATCCTTTAACCTTTTTGCACTTTTAAGAATTGTGTTTTTTCAACCTACTATTGACTACATACAATTTGTTTTAACATAGAACAGCTGAAAATTCTATCTAATTGCAGATGGCAGTATTTTGGGCAACTACATGGGTTGTTATAATTTGCTGCGTAATTAACAAGAAGCGTAATTGCAGTAATTTTATTATGTCAAAAACATCCTTAGCACAAAATAAAATATGTTATTTGGTTTTATGGTGAATAACAATTGAAACACAGACACAAATTTTGGTTTTCACGCATTTTTATCATTTTCACTGGAATTTCTGGAAAACGGCGCTATTTATTAAAATTCCGACATTAATATTTCAATGTGCTTTTGATAAATAACTATTAACATCTGTTCTAACAGATTTTCATATTTCCATACAAAATATTATTATTTAGAAGACAGAATATGCAAAAATACTGACATCTTGTAAAATTAGAAATTGTCTGTCCTTGACCTGCACCATACGAATATTTGACGACCGGGCAAAAAAGATAGTGCAGACGATGCGCTTTCGAATGGTATATGATTTAGCCGTATGTTAGGTGGATGCATTAAAAATAAAATTTTATGGTTAATGTCACTCGTCTAGGAGGGTTGCGCGCTCACAAACATGTTTAATCCCGCCCCATTCTTTATGTGCCTGTCCCAAGTCAGGAGCCTGTAGTTCAGTGGTTGTCGTTGGTTCATGTATGTCATATTTGTTTTTCTTTAATTGTTTTGTTATGAATTAGGCCGTTAGGTTTCTAAATTGAATTGCTTCATATTTTTCATGTCGGGCCTTTTGTAGCCGACTATACGTTATTTTTTTTTTTCATTGTTGAAGGCCATACGGTTGCCTATAATTGCTTACATCCACTTTATTTGAACTTTGGAGGATAGTTGTCTCATTGGCAATCATACCTCATCTCCTTATTTTTATATAAACATATAGTTGGTTCTTTGAATCATTTGAATAATGATAAAAATCCCAGGCAGTCTGGAATAGGAGGATATTTGTTTTACTTAAGACTTTACTTTCTTTAATTATTCTATTAGTTTGAGCCAGGGGTTCCAGTACGAATATTTAATTAACAAATTTTCTTTAAGATTATTTTCTAAAGCTTCAATATTTACTTGTCCGCTTTGCATTTTTGTTTTGTATACCCACTATTTAATTAACAATATGAGGTTTCTTGTGTAGTTTTTTTTAAGTTAAGTGGTAGCTCAACTTTTGTATTGACTGAAAGATGAACAATTTGATTTCGTCATATGTTTTCATTTCGTATAAAAGCCACTCAAGAACATAAAATTATTAGCTCCGCTTACCTAATCAATCAACACTATTTTTTTCGCATTGTACGTTTACTTCGTGCAAACAATTATGATTAAAAAAAAATCGCTTTTTTATTCATTTGAATAATATGAGCAGCGTCGTATATAAATCGACCTGATGCGAATGAATATCAATATGTCTGTATACTTATTTCGTTTTGAAAAATCTCTATGGAAAGTCTGTAACTGTTTGAAAATGAGCTGTTATAAGAAAATCTACAAAACAGACCAAAATTCATCTTTTATTTCGTATATGAATGTTCCAAAATCAATCAAAGTCTTATACATGTATATGTAGATACGTGCATAATGTCGATTTAAATCCGACGCAGGTCATATCTTGAAATATTTATAAATAATATAAATATATAACAATGAATAATTATCATATGATAAACATATACAATAATGATTGAAATTTGATAAATATTTTATGCGCAGCTATATGACGTATTGTAATTGATTTCACATGGAATGGTACAGCTGTCATCTCGTTAGGCAGTTTTTTTTGGTTTAAAGTTTTACTTTTAGATTCAAAATGTGAATAACATATATTTTTCTTATTACGACAATCTGCTAGAATAAGAATTGAATGCTGTGTTTTTAAAAATTCATACGTAGCGAAAACAAGTGACCGTCACATTTGTTGCCAGAAGCGCATTTGTGCATCATGCAAAATGTGATGGTCACTTGCTTTCATTTCGTATAAAAACAGCTAGTAATTCTATAACCAATCACAACGATTTCAATGTTCGCTTAATGAATACGACCAATACCAGTTTTACAATATTATATGGAAGAACAAAATCTATAATAAATAGATGTGCCAGAGCGTTTAGTTGCATGTTAAAATTTAATTGAGTCATATCTGGAATGTGTTTACCTATGCTGTCTTCGGTAATTTACATTGCTTAATAGAACACAAATAATAACAGGTATCACAAAAGATATTGGACAGTACAAAAGACATCACCAAACACCAAAACCAGTCTTCTCTAAAACCAGACACACAAACAAAGACAAACAACAACGAATAACACATGGTCTAGATAGCCTGACTTGGTACAGACACAAAATGTTGTGGTAAAACCAGTTCAACGTGCACACAAAACTTGCCGTTTCCATACCTTGCATGTTTATGTTTAGTTTGATAATCGTCCTATTTACTTTTAACGCTCCTTGTGATATATTAACTGGCTTTATTTTTTTGTAGGACATCTCTTTAGACTTGAGTTGATCAGCTTTCGAATCTACTGGGTTTAATTCGTTTAGGTTATCGCTTTTGTATATATTTGTTTACTATAGTACACGATGAATATAAACATAATTATATAGTTTACAATACAAATACCAGACTGCTTCCATAGGCTTATGAAGAACTTTTTTTCCAAAAATATTAAACGTCAATTATTCAAAGAAAGTTATGTATCAATGTAATTTTTGTAAAAGGTTAGTTATTAACTTACATATCAATTTTATGTGGTGTTTAACATATCACTTATGAATTTGGCAACTCCTTTATTCTTGTACTGAGTAAAAATTTAATGAAAATAACTTTTGTGCATCCGAAACTGTATTTACCTTCATCAAGAACACTCAGAACCCAACAATTTGAATGTCAAAGATGTATAAGAAATAAAAACGTGAGGGAGCTTTATGATCAAAAGGGACACAAGTCATCTAAGGTCAACTTTGCTTGAGGGAGTTGGAATCTTAGTTTTTAAATGATCTAAGTTTTTTCCATATCGGATAGAATGGTAATGGTAGAGTTATATGAATTAAAGGAAATGTTGTATTACTTCAAATTTTCAAATACATCAGCCAAGGAACATAATATGTAATGTATCATCTTAGGTCTTCTGAAGTTACCTTTGTAGTTCATTTTGCCTTTTTTCGTTGTTTATTGATTTTTGATTCTTGTATTTGTTCCTTTCTATTATTATAAAAGTTTTTGAATTGTTATGTTGAAAAATTATTTTCCTGTTTTTTTCTTTCTATAAGTGTTTTTTGCTTTATTTGATAATTTTAATAAAAGGACAAAAAGAAAGAATTGAATTTTAAGAAATGGAGGAAGTAAAGGCTTACAGAAACAAATTTTGGACAACAGTTTTATATTAAACAATTTAAACGATAAAATAGTTGGATCACCTTGAATTTGATATAATAAAAATTAAAGGAACAGCCTTCACCTAATTTAAATCAAACTGTTTACTACAATTTAGTTCCTCTGAATGTTTTTATATCCGAACATTTCCTTATTTTTATCACTAAGTAGATTAAGAAAAGAAGTTTTGCGTACACGTTTTTAAACTTCACCATATATTTATATATGCATGAATCATTAGTAATCATTACAAGTATTTTAATTATTCTTTTTTTTTTTATTCAAATGATTTTGTAGATGATGATGAATGTATAGCTGGCACACACAACTGTCCAGGACAATGCATAAATACAGAAGGATCATATCTGTGTAACTGTACAGGTATACCCGGATACCTGTCAGGTGAAAACAGACCGTGTAAAGGTAAACAACCAAGACGGAAAGACCATTTGGAATTTCCAAATTCCCAAGGACAAACGTACCTTTATTTATAAAATTTGTATACATCCACAAATTATTTCGATTTGATGACACAAAGTTTTTAAATAGAACTTTAGCCAAGTTTATCAGCATATATGACAAACTAGCTAATTTCTCAAAGGAAATGACTTGTTATTTAAACTTTGTTACTCATGCAAGATGGGAATGCAGGAAATGTTTTACAATACAAAAAAAAAATGGCTCGAAACTGTCGCTAGTTAAACGAAAACATATCGTTTATTACTAGTTTCTGATTATAGACAGAAAAAACGTTAAACACAAAGCCTATTTTCCAATATTTTCACTCTCTTATGTATACGCTTATATCAGCAAATGTTGGCTCTAGTCATATAACCAAATGCTAAAATGAGTATGCTAACACAGCATAATTGAATAATGCCAGTGCAACCATCATGAATGAAATAGCGAAATGTTCTTGAGCAAATAAAGATAAAATAAGGCACCCAATGAGACTGCTTATCTACCACTAACGTAGGCGTGAACAAAATTTTAATTACGTCCCACACAGAAGATATAGTAATTGTATACAGACAATCCCTCACTGCAGTAACATAAAGGAAACTTGAAATATCTATCTGCAATTAAGTAAGGGTTCAGTTAATTAGGACCGCTGCTGGCATTTTGTTAGCCATTCTGAATGGTTTAAGAGACGACACGCGGGTTAAAAAGGATAGGAGTGTTGCTACAAACAAATCTGTGGTCTTCTGGAACACACGGATCCGTATTGGTTAACCAAACAAAGATGCCGTCTGTAAAACATTCCAAGAGATGTCTTTAACTACGCTGATACCCCTCCTATAATACAGTAGCGTTTTTGTAAGCAGTATCCATATATCAGGACAGATGCTTACGGAAAACACGAGTTCAAGAACAAAGTGCCAATCATTGGATAAATAAACTACATGTACAATGACTCTCATGATACTGATACATAGAAAATGAAAGTTTATTAAGAAAAAATAGAAATGTCATCTTTTACTAGGAAACTTAAGCTATCAACCGACTAACACGTCGATTTTAAGTTGCAAGACAAAGTAAAGCTATACTTCATTTTGAAGTTCAAAGAGACAGAAACGATACCGACATTCGCCAACTTTAAACTATTGTAAGAGGGGATAATCTATATAGTGTTATATAAATTTAAAGCATATAGATTGAAGCCTATTTTTTTACGAATAAATGTACATGTTCAATACTATTGTATGAAAGGGGATTATCTATATAGTATAATGAAAATTTAAAGCATATAACCTGTTTGAGCTTCATATTAAAGCATGTCTTTTACTAATAAAGGAACATATTTGCGATATTAGAAGGTACAGTTGGCCCCATACCAATGCTGTTTGTTTGTTCAAAAATACGTCTACAAAGCATAACATATCGCCAATAAAAAAAATTAAAAAAATGATAATGTCATGCAGATTCCGAGATTTGTGTTGCAATCAGGGTGGGTTTTTTTTACAATTAAAGATGTGTTCCTTTATAAAACAAGATTCGTGGATCAACTCTGGAACCCTGAAAGAATAAATTCATCCTTCTGCAATACGTACATCCATCTTAATATACATGACAAATAATAATCAGATAGAAGCTAAAGGGCGTATCTAGCGATATATTATTTTAACAATACTTATACCGGGCCCGTACATTCGTCACTATGTTTAATTGTTTAGAATTTAAACCATCGGCAGATCTAAAAATTGCTTCAACGCTTCAACTCAATATTATCAAGCTGCAGACCAAATATGAAATCATTAGCTTTACTAGAAGCTGAAACAAAAGTTTTCTATCCAAGGTCTTTCGGACGGACGGGAGGAATGACGACCGATAACTTGACCTGCTTTTTGCCGTTTGCGACGCAGGTTAAACAGGATAAACTCATCATAGATACCAGGAGTAAAATTTTGTACGCCATACGGGCGATTCGTCTACAAAAGACTCATCAGTGACGCACGAATAAAAAAAGTAAAAATGTCAAGTAAAGTAAGAAATTGAAGACCATTGAGGACCCAAATTCCGAAAGGTTTTGCCAAAAACAGCTAAGGTAATATATTCCTGCGTTGGAGTGTTGCTACGAACTAATCTGAAGTCATCTGTAATACACGGATCCGTAATAGTTAACCAAACAAAGATGTCGTCTGTAAAAGATTCGAAGAGATATCTTTAACTACACTAATACCCCTTAATACAATAACTTCTTTGAAAGTAGTATCCATATTCCAAGACAGATGCTTACAGAAAAAAACGATTTCTTGAACAAAGTACTAATTATTAGATATATAAGCTACATGTACAATGGTTCTTATGGTGTTGATACATACAAAAATGAAAGTTCATTATGGTCATCTTTTACAAGGAAACTTAAGGTCTCAAACGATTAAAACGTCGATTTTCAGTTGCAAGTCAAAGTAAAGATATAACGCAACCAATATCTGGTATTTTTCATTTGAAGTTCAAAGAGACAGAAACGATACTAACAATCGACAAACTTTAAACTATTGTAAGAGGCGATAATCTTTATAGTATAATATAAAAAAGCATATAGCCTTCTTAAGCACAAGATTGAAGCCTATTTTTAATGAATAAAGGAATATGTTTGCGATAATAGAAGGCACAGTTGGTCCCATACGAATGCCGACTGTTTGTTAAAAAATACGTTCACAAAGGTGTCATTAAATCAAATGAAAAGTTTATGATGTCACGTAGTTTCCCAGATTTGTGTTGCCATCATAATGTTTTTTTTTTTACAACAAAAGATGTGTTCCTTCCTTAAACAAGATTCGTGGATCAACTCTGGTGCCCTGAAAAAAGAAATACTTCCTGCTGCACTACGTAAATCCATCTTGATGTTCGTGACAAATAACAAACTGATACAATAGACTAGGTCGTATCTAGCGATTGTATCTAAAGTTTTTTCTTAAAATACTGTTGCTAAACTGATTTTTAAGCTTTTTCAGTTATTGCTAAATCGTGGTTGTAAAAACAAGGGTTAATGTATAAACAATATCTATTCATGAGTGGAAGGAAATACCGAGCACATGATTACATACTCTGCTAACACGATAAAATAGCTCGGGATTTCATGTAGAAAGCAACTCCTTCCTAGTTGAAAATAGCTTTTCCTACTTTAATTATATAGTTAGCTACAAGGAAATTGTGTTTTTTTAAATTTGAATTCTTTGATGATTCTAGTCATCAATATGTCATTTGATACTTAAATATTGATGATTTTGAATGTTATGATGTTAACTTATATCTTGAAAACCAGTTAGACAATGTAACGATGGGAGGTGCTAATGGAAAAAAAGTCTTCTTGATTTTTCTCTTATAAAGTTTTTATTACACACCAGCAAATAATGCATGCAACGGTTAAACCTTCTCCCTCTGCTTTGTTTACTGGAACTGTAATGGCTGATAGTCAGCCTACAGTGGTGCATGTTGTTTACTAGGACAGTAATGGCTGATAGTCCACCTGCAGTGTTGCATGTTGTTTACTAGGGCTGTAATGGCTGATAGTCCACATGCAGTGGTGCAGTCCAAATGGTAGTAAAAAAAAAGACATATAATACCGATTTCCGTGCTCACGACACGTGGTTCTGGAATAAACTTGCTAGATAAATACTTTGAAAAAACTAAACTATAAAACAAAAGTTGAGATCATAAATACCGTAAAAAATCATACACAAGGGGACAGGTCCGTTCAACGTAAAACTTGCCTGATGGAGTTGCATTCTTTGTTAAGTACAATAACGTAAATTATCAATTCGAAATTCAGAGAAAAACATGTGTAAATTTATTAAATTATACAAGTATGGAAACCGTCGATTTCCAAAAGCATGACAAACTTTATTTTTGTTTACCATTAAAAATCGAACATTTTAAATAAAGGCAACAATAGTATACCGCTGTTCGAAACTCATAAATCGATAGAGATAAAAACAAATCCGGGTTACAAACTAAAACTGAGGGAAACGCATCAAATATAAGAGGAGAACAACGACACAACAAAAACACAACATTAAAATGTAACACACACAGAAACGAACTATAATATACCAAATAATATAATAAACGTCGATAAACTACTGTTGCCTAGATTTACATATATTTACCGAGAGTGTTATACACATATAAGTCGATTCAAACTTCATATAATAATGAAAATCTTTAACTTGAAACCATTTATAAATGCACACATGCATCACAGTAACATTGTTCATAAATATGATTTAAGCACTTTGTGTGTTTTAGCCATTAGCGAACATTCGATTTCATCCACTTATGATAACCAATGTTAAGTAAGATATATGTTAATAAGTCAAATGATTTTAATATCTATCTTCCGGGCCACACTTCTGGAATCTTTTCGGCAAGTACATTTGCGTTAATAAGATTTAATTTAATCAAATTGTTTTAATATACAGTTTCAGTTAAATTAATTGTTTTAATTACAAGCGCAGTTATTTTCTTTACTATGGACAAAAATCAATGTACTGAGAATTATTTTCAATTGTAGTACTACATCTATGGGGGTGTTTAACGACATTGACTACTCATAAGGGCCTCACACTGTCAACATTTTCAACAATGATGAATTCATTTTAGAGTACGAATGTTTTATGGAAAATTGTATGTAAGAATATTTTTAGAAAAATGCAACCAAATTTAAACTCTTAGTGACAAAAATCATCCTTCATTTCCGTTACTATTTCGACCTTTGGTGACTAATTTAAGATAAGATACGCATGTTCTTGCAAGCACTTTTATGTATTGTAAATATATTTTGTTTAAATAACCACTGTACATCTTGAATACCAGATGTTGTAAAATAAGATTAAAAACTGGAAATTCCAAGGGACGATTACGATTCAAGGAACACTGCACACTACCAAATTAGTATATATGGGTTAGAAAAGCTGGAATTTCCTCACTGAACTTATATAGTCAATTATATTGATAAACGTTATATAACTATGTATTTAAAATAGATATATATCTATAAATGATATATCATATACTTTTATAAGTCACATTAAAGGGTCTACCTATTATTTTGTATTAATAAATTTTAATTTTTCCTTACATTTTACAACTGCACTCGTTAATGTTATTTTGTAACTTCTTTATCTCATAATAAATTATGAAGGAAATTATAAGGACGAAACGCGCGTCATTGCGAATCAAATTAAAAACCTGGTATCTTTGTCGAGTGTTTTCAACCACTGGATAGAAACCACTGATGGTGGGTGTGTTGTCTCGGAGGTTATCACCAGCCCAGTAGTAGTCGTCACTTTATGTTGACATAAAATGTATTTGATATGTTTAACTTCTGTAAATTGACTGTTTAAAAATGTAAAAAATATTTGAAACACGAGACATAGATTGCCTTAACCGTATTTGGCTAAACTTTTCGGAATTTTTGGTTTTTAATGCTTTTCAACTTCGATTTGATTAGGCCTTCCAAATGTTTTGATTCGAGGGCCACGTATGAGTTTTATGAAGACGAAACGCGCGTTGGACGTAACAAATCATAAACTTGGTATCGTTGACGATTTTTTATAGCATATATAACATACTTTCCACATTTTGTTCAAGTTTTGATGAGTTTAATATCTACAATGATTTGACTGGAATATTGTGACTAATTTTACATCCATCATCATCATCATCCTACAAAATATTGTCAAAGCGCTTTTATGCATTTACCATCATCAGTAACGCTCAAACGTTAACATTTGAAAGCCAGGGATGTATAAAACGTACTAACGTTCGGAGCTATATGACTAAAAGGGACACACAAAGAATAGCTAAATTCATCTAAGGTAAACTTTGACAGAGGTCATAACTTTCTGCATTTCTGTCTCTCTGTCCGTCCGCCGGATACACTCCCCCCTCCCCCAATCAATAAAGCAAAGTAAAATTTGCCTAAATATTGAAAACATGCACATGGGAATTACACTGTAAAAATAGTGCTTAGAATTTAAACGTGTTGCAAGATTTATGTGCTTAGGAAAGTGTTTAATTTCTAAACATAAAAAAATAAACATGTTTTGGCTCTCAGCACTTCGCAATAAACATGTTTTGGCTCTCAGCACTTTTCAATAAACATGTTGCTGTGCTAAACATGTTTAGCTACTTTGTCAAGTATATAAAGCTAAACGTGTTTAAATTCTAAGCACTTTCAATATTTAGACACTTTCCTAAACACGTTTAGAATTACAACACATTTAGGCCGAATACGTCATTCATATCACGTGCTAATTTTTGAGCGGGAAGAAGAAACAAAGAACCCGAAGTCAAAGGCCACGCTGTTTACTTCTGACCATAACTGACCTAACTTGACTGTTTCAGAAAGGTAAGGAGTTATGATTATACTGTCTTTTATTTACGGTACTGCCAATTTGAAATGATTATTGACAGTTATAAAAATTATTTACAAGTACACTACCGTATAGTCAATGCAGGAGAGAAAAGGGGGTACCATCCCACGAAACAAGTGCTTGTAAGAGCTTTAAGTGTTCAAACTATCTTGTGTATAAATGATAACAGTTGTTTAATGTTCTATCATGCAAGTTTGCATTTATTTTTTTATTTTTATGTATGTTCTTGGAAAGGAGTTTGTGAGGATAATTTTCGTTCGGTACTCCTCGGCAGATTATAATGGAACATGAAGGGTAGCGGAATTTGCCGAGTCTTATCAGGATGAGGTGCATCATTCGCAAATCCAGTGTCATATCGAGTTCATTGTTTTCGTAAGCACTTCCGATATGCACAATCAACATTTCATCAAAATAAATAGAAAGATGCTTGTTTATTTCAATAGTTATAATCGGTTGTGATTTTTTTTATAATTTTATTGATATGTATTGTTTTATTCTAGATGAGAGAAGTGCAGAGGAAATCATCATCTGTCTTGGCATGCTAAAAGAGGAGATAAAGAACAGTAGCAAATATGCTGCTAGGTAAGAATCAAAAGTGTATTTGATTTTAAAAATGCCAATATATATTTGATCAAATGAATAATATTAAGCATGAAAAGAAGTTTTATATTAAAAAATATCAATTGATTCATCAGTAAATTTATGTTTTTATACCACGGTCCTAATGTTGTTTTCTGGATCTTAAATCATGCTTTTACTTTTTGGTGTTGTTGTTCATATTCTTACATTTTTAGATTAATTCTACTTAGTTGCTTATCAATATTTTTCTATATTTCAGGCCATTGACCAGCAGTTGGGTACTAAGAAAGGAGAAGCTCTTATTGACCTGTAAAATGAAAACAGGACATTTTTAAATTGTTTTGTTGTAGGGATGGGGTACAAGTAGAAGATTGGACAATATTATGTACATGTACCTTGATATGAATTTATTTTTGATTGTGTTCAATGATAAACTGGAAATAAATGATAACATAAATTCCTTTGTTTTATATATGTTGTAATTTTGTTTTTAAAGCTAGAACTAGTATAATGATAATTTCATTTCAAAAGTTCTAGACTGTTTTACGAATATTTGAAATGAAGAAAAAATGCAATAGTCGAATGACGTGAATTGAATTAAAGAAAAAACTCATTGAGATTGAAAAGGTATTGGTCACATTCAATTTGATATGGAAATTCCAGTTATTTAGTTTGATGCATTGGCTCCTTTTTGTGATGGTATGAAAACCTGTTTTATTGAGAGCTATCATACGTTTTACAGTCAAGCCTTCCGGAATATTAGTTTAATTGGGGCCTAATGAAGTAACGGCTTCTCACAATAAAATGATAAACATGTTTCTTCACGACCCTTTATGGTCTAAACATGTTTACGTTCACTTCACAGCTAAACGTGTTTCCAGACAAAACACTTCTCAGCTAAACATGTTTTTAGATACAACAATTCACAGCTAAACATGTTTACAGTCTAAGCACTTTTTAGCTAAACGTGTTTCTAGTCTAAACGCTTTACAGCTAAACATGTTTACAGTCTAAGCACTTCATAGCTTGACACGTTTAGGCTGTTAGCACATTAAATATTAAACATGTTTAGATTTAAAACATGTCAAAAATCGGTTTCATAAATGTGTTTAGGAAAGTGTTTAGGCTCTAAACACATTTTTTAGAGTGTACATAAAGACGTTGTTTTTTAAAACTGACTTCTTCTTGTATTTTCTTCATTGGCTATCATGAGAGAGGTTTTACTCAGAGAAACACTAAAGTATCCAAATTCCATACAGAGTTTGATGCGTATTTAACATGGGAAGCATGCTGAAGACCGTAGATTCTAGATTCCTTCATATTCATTACATTTAATGGAGGATTTTCCAGCAAAAGTTGTCCTTTCTTTTTAGTTTTATTTCGATGTTTATATTTATTCAAGAATAATCGCACAAAAGAAGAAGGTATCATGCTTCAACCTAATTACAATTATGTTCAGTTGTAATGTTTAAAGTAATTGTGGGTTTTAAATTGCATGGACTGTTTTTGCTAATTTTTTACTTGCAGCAATAAATGCTTGTTATCATATATATCTTTTGTAGATTTGAATGAGTGTGCAACAGATAATGGAGGTTGTGAAGACGTTTGTGTTAACACCATATCCTCATATAGATGTAGATGTAAACAGAAAGGATACCTTGTGTCCGCTGATAAACATAATTGCTCAGGTATTCATAGAAATTGATCAACATAATTGCTCAGGTTTTCATAAAAGTAGATAGACATAATAGCTCAGGTATTCATAGACCATGTTAGACATAATTGTTCAGGTATTCATTGAAGCTGATAGACATAATTGCTCAGGTATTCATAGAACATGATAGACAATATTGTTAAGGCATTCATTGAAAATAATAGACATAATAGCTAAGATATCAATAGAAAATTATAGACAAAAATTTAGGTGTAATAGAAAATTATAAACATGACAGGTTTTTCATGGAAAGATATCCATAGAATATGATAGTCATAACAGCCAGGAACCAATACTGATCCCACAAAAAATGAAAGATATATATAACATCAATGAAGAGACATTAATTGTCGAAATCCGGATATGGTGTACAAATTTTTGCACCTCATGTTTGCGGTATACCATCTTTTCCGCAAGTTTATTGTTTTCTGTTTGGTATTAAATTAATATAATTAAGATCCATTGTGTTACATCTGTGATCCGTTTATTTGGCAATCGCCATGGCAGTCAGCAGGGTTTAAGAACATCCGTTGTTCGACCTGCTAGTCAAATGCGTTTTGTTAAAATATACTTTTTCACTTTTTTGGTCTTTTGGAAAATGTTGTTTGTGCTGTATTTAGACCCCTCTACAAAGAAATTTGTTTTGCATGCACACGTATAAAAATTGCGGTTTTTATCCAACGCAATCATAGGTTTGAACGTTGTTTTCAATTTAGACTTGTTTATATATGTATATATAATATAGTAAAAGACATACATATATATATAGAAATTATTTCTGTTACTGCATCTTACGTTCCTTTACGACAGATGATTTATAATGATGAAAATAATATGTGTTTTCAGCCGTACCTTCACTGGTGATCCAATGGATGGATTTGTCGTAGAGTTATCACTTGTTTACTTTATTTAGACGTACTTATATATAACTAGTATATACGAACTAATAAAAGAACAAAATCTCATAATATTTGGAATAATTAACATCTGCAGATTTTAACTATAGCCATCACGCGTCTTATAGACCATCGCACATCAGCGAAAGGATCATCGCACGTCGGCGTAGATCATTGCACTTCAGCGTCTTCATCGCACTTCCGAGTCCTACAAATATATAGAGTCATACTGGGCCAATTAGGACCAAACTTGGCTATCCATGGGGTATTTTCTACAAATTAGTCGACAAGACCGAGATTTACATACTTCTTCTTTTAGGATTTATCAACCTTAACTAATGATTTGTACCAATTTAAAAACTTTTTAAAATTTTTGCTAAAAACTATAATAGATAGAGAGTAACTTTATATGACAAAAATGAGCAGTAAGACAATATGCACACATTATTCTGCAAGACCGAAATTGTCAAACGACTTCTTATGACAGTTTTGTCTCTTACATAACAACTTTTACCAATTGTTTATATATCTTCAAAACTGTAATAGGTTGGGAGAAATTGGGAGCAAATATGATCACCTAGACAAGATCTATGAGTAAGTCAGCATGGCTGAAATCGTCAATCGACTCCTAATAGGTTTCACTTTGTAAATACAACTGTTTCTCAAACCAAGCCTCTTTTGGGGAGATATATGATATTCATAGATATTTCGTTTTGTTTACGTACTGGTTCGCAGATATGATCTCTATGTTTCATCTCATAGAGACATAACTTGGGAATGTTACCAGTATAAAAACATATTGTTTCGGTGAAAATTGAATTCTGAAGTAGGCACAAAGTGAAGGTAGGGGTAGTACATAATTTTAGTATAAGCTTAAACTCTTAACAAGTTCGGGGCATATAAATGTTGAAAATATGCCACACAGCTCTATGTTTTGACCTTTGAATTAAATAGTAGTGCATATCAACTTTCCATTCTAGGATATAATTTTTTACGAAACTTCATAGTCAAAGTGGCACAGTTTTAGCCGCAAAGGGAGCTCCTATGGGAAATTGCATTGTCTATATTTACAGAAATGCAACCTATAGGAGTTATTACTTTTAGATGACGATTTTTACCAATTGTATTCATTATCTTGAAAATTATGAAGGATAGAGAGAAATTTTGAATAGAAAAATAATGAACAAGACAAGATTTACAAATGACGATTTTTTTTTTACACTTTTTTTTGTGTTTTGGGCAAAAACTATAGAAGATACAGAGAAACTGTAAACAGTAAGAACGAGCAGCAAGACACTATCAACAAATAGGTCAACATTGCCAAATTTTCAGTTCACTTTTTATAGGAGTAGCTGTCCTTCAATGATGATTTATATCCATTTTTGTGTAAGCAAACGATATAGCAGATAGAGAGAAACTAAACTGAAAAAATATCAACTAAACAAGATTAACAACAAAAAATTACGTCATGATTTATATTAAAGTCTAAAATGTTAGAGAATGGCTATTGTTGAAGATGCACTTAGATCAAAAATACCAGACTCCAAGGAAAATTCAAAATGGAAAGTCCCTTATCAAATGGCATCAAAACACATCAAACGAATGGAAAACAACTGTCATATTCCTGATTTGGTACAGGCATTTCCTTATGTAGAAAATGGTGGATTAAACCTGGTTTTATAGCTAGCTAAACCTCGCACTTGTATGACAGTCGCATAAAATTTCATTATATTGACAACAAAGTAAGCGACACAGGCTCTTTAGAGCCTCTATGTTTTTTTAACGTGTTTTGCATAGTATCTGTTTTCTTCCAACTTTTTATTTTTCACTGTCATTTTTTATGCTGGTGTTACTATTCTAAAACTTTTTTTTCTAAATTTTGTTATTACAAAACATTCTTTTGATGTGCATATCAATTAATTAATAATCTAAGAATACAATAAGTTGACGAAGACTCCACCGACATTTAGTATTTGTTTTTGGCACGTTATCCCGAAATATTATCCTTGTTAAATTAATTTCCAAAAACATTTTCCCATGGAATCAATACCAAATGTAAAAATATATCAAAGACAAAAAAATATTTTCCCACGGTTGGGAGGAAAAGGCTAATTATCAATTAAAATGGATAATAAGTATAAACTAATTGAACAAATAAACTACATCCTTAGATAAATCATTTGTTTCCATTTATTAGTACTATTACTCACCAATGCAGGAAATGAATGAACCCACCTGCAAAAAACAACTATCAAATATAATTATGGAACATTTATGTACAAAAAAAATCCTGTCTATAATCTCTAATGAGTGCTCGTGATACCTTAATCAAGACTCAAACTTTCCGAAACATTTCACTTCAATTGTAAAGATTTGACGATTTTATTTTAATTCTAAGAATTAACAGAATTTTTTTTTTTATTCTTTTGGATAGGCAGGATATAAAATAAAACTTTGTAAGATTTATTTGTTACAATTTATTTTAAAATGATCCAACATCTCCTGTATGTACAAATCGGGCTTTTAACTCTGCAAAGTTATAGTTAAATAGTTGTTTCCATTATATTGTAATGGTCAATCTTTGTAAGCTGTTTTTTTCTTTTACTGTGCACATTTGTATTATATTCTTGGTCAGTCCTTGAATATTAAGTTTCTTGTGACCTTTTCAAGAAATAAAGTGGAACTTGTATTTTAGGGGTATTTCAAAAGGATTAACTTTTGTTAATCATGAATGTTTGAAGATTACATTATACGTAATGTATAAATATTCATAAGTGTGAGTAATGAGAGACTTCAAAGAAACTTATAAGTACCGTAAGCGCAATTAGCTTTGATGTTGTTGCCCACAATTCCTCTTTAAATATAAAAATATACGAAATAGATTGATATCCGTACATCATCATTTGTCTCTAATTGCTTTTTGATTATAATTATTCTATAACCTTCCTTGTCACCAATTGTGTAAATTTCACAAAAATTAAAGAATGATTTTTTAGAAATCTTGATGCCGAAAATTGAGGAAGGTTAAAAAACAAGAAACATCAAGATGCTGGAACGTTGTAATTCTGGGAATATTGTATGGTTATATTTTGCTTAGATTTCGCAACTTTTAATTTACTTTTTTTGCGCAAAAACGCAGTCGTGTTCTTACAAAATGGGTAAATTGGCAAATACGTTGCGCTACGATTATCTAAACCACCCTCACACTCATATGATATATGACTTTTCAGATACGGTTTTAAATTTCATTCTCATTTGCCTTTTTATTAGAAAAGACCAATATATACTACTATCTTTATAAGGGCCATGTCCACAATAATATTTATGACTATCAGTCAGTAACGGTAAGATAAAAGACTCCTGTTTTAGTGTATGGCTATTTGGGTTAGGTCATACTCAAAGACATTCGAATATTTCTGTCTGCTGATATATATCTGACGGGATAATGACATTAGATGTATATAAACTTAGAGAAATGATATATAAATAAAACACCTCCTACATGTTTGTCGCAAAGGAAGGGACACGCGACTGAAAAAAATAAAAAATAGCATTTTATAATCTTTGTTTTAACTATTTATTGGTTAATTTCCTTCATAAAAATCCACATGCATTATTACTATTTTCCTTGTTACATAATAAGACACGACGTGTAGACACCAAACTGATATCATCAATGTCATATTATCTCCAAGTGGACTCTTCCCGGATAATTCAGGCGTTTCTTTGTTAGTCATGCTAACTTTGGAACGATACTTTAGCCTGAATTTAAAAATACAATGGATACTATTTAAAATTAGATCATCATAAGTTTATTCTTCCTCATAACTATGATTTTACATTCTTTGTTCATTAAGAATGGGAAGTGCACTTGTCTGTCACATGTTATTGGTGTAAAATTGACTTTTTTGAACTGGGAAGTCAATCACATGTTTTGAAATTTAGATCAGAAAAACCACCTATTTAGTGAAAGTGATACAAAAACTTTCTAAAAACAACTATCATGTGAATTCAGCATTTATCTTTTTTTTAAATTCTTTTTGCTATAGTCGCTAATGAGTGCTTGCGCAAATTAAATAAAACATCGGTGTTTCATGAAATTTGAGGATTCGGACTTGTTAATACCTAAAAGAGTTCATGATCATTTGTCCCACCAAATCGGCTATCTCTAAGATAAGGGTGCTTTCCTTTCAGCAGCACCAGCTATTTGTTAGCGTCTTAAGTACAGGGAAACATGTATTTAAAATACTACACGTTCCAGGAAATCCACGCATGTGCTAGTCGAAATGCCAAAATCAGAGGGTAGGATAATACATAATGCTATAATCCATTGAAAATTGCTTTCATTCGACTTTCTGTTATGAAATAGGAACCTTAACAGACCACAAGCAGTGATATCGACCAAGTACTAGTCAATGAATATTAAGTTTATAAATTTTGTGCTTCCGAAACGGTTTTTTGATTTTTTTGGGAAGTTGCAACCAGAGTTTGCTTGTAATTTCTTAAATTATCAACTGGGAATTATAATTTTAATTTGTAACTGGAGACATTTAGACACGGTTTCTTCCAACAAGTTTTGATGACTATACTAAAACTTGTGAAGGGATACGTTCAGCCGTTGTCTTAATAGCTTCGCTGAGAAAAAACGTATAACTAAAATACCGTACTCCAAGTTAGATTCAAGAAAGGGAAGTCCATAAAAACTGGCAAAATCAAACGTTATCAACCAACGGAACGAATGAAAAACAACTGCCATATTCCTGACTTGGTACAGTCATCTTCCGAAGAAAATTGTTGGTTACACCTAGTGTTATAGCTGGCAAAACCTCCCACATGTATGACAGTTGTTTATAGTTCTGTGATTTTGACAAAATTGGGTGAGCAACCCGAAAATACGTAATAGAGTAAGTTTTGAATGAAGTTGCAATAATGAAAGCACGCTTTGACTTGCAGTATCTTATAAGATATATCAACATGTTGGTAAGAATCCTTATACATTGGAATTATCCCAAGATATAGGTATTATACCCCAAATTAAGTATCAATTTATAGTTAGTTTTTTTTTCTGAATTTTAAGGTAAAGGCTATCCTTGCGCACAGGATGATGTTTCTCCCAAAATACCTTGATTGAAATATTATCTTGATCAAGTAAATGGCCTTCAAATGAATTAGATTTTTTAGAGGTCTTAAATTTCATTCAGTTTTCTTATGAATTATGATATCAAGGAGGAAAATATTGCTTTTTTCATGTCTGGGTGTGCCGTTTCAGTCATTTTAATGTCAAAAATAAAATTCCAATATTTATCATTGTAAATCGATTCCTGATTTTGGATAGTGAACTTATAAATATTACAGCCATTTTAATGAAAAACAAAACTGACGTTTATCTTTGTAAATCGATTCCCGATTTGGGCTAGTGTACCCATAAATAAGAATAATACTGAATCATGAGCATTATCCGCAACTTGATTTAGGTAACATGCTTGGACTGTAATGGTATGTTACTACTCAATTGTGTCAGTTTAAACAATTGTGTGTGTCATAGATCTTAGTTTTTAGTTGTCCATCAGCGTCAAATCAAGAAAAAGATATTTTGTCTCTGTTGCGTGTTCAATTTCAAGTTCACGTAAATATAAGTAAGTCTTACTCGAGAAGAAGATTATTGATTGAAAAGACATCGTCCATTTATCTAAATACGAAATAAAATATTTTACAATATAATTTTCTTCTTGTCTTCTAGTCATTTATAACATTCTGCTTCATTTGATAACAAAACAAAAGCAAAAACCACACCAAAAACAGTAAGCAGGGGTGCACAATTGCTACTAATTGGTATATCGAACGTATATAAGAATATCAAGTAATCAAAATCAACAAATATGTAGTCGATAAAAAGACCAACATTTCGATCATTTATAAAACTGAAATATTGTATTGCCTGCAATGAAATGTTTTCTTCTGGAGAAATGAAAATCTTTAGCATGCATTTAAACCTATAAACATATCACTGTTGGAGCTACTACAATGGGCCAATCTAGAACAAACGGAATCCAGATTGAACTTGAGTCATTTCCTAGAATTTCATTCTCAAACACCCCATTGGCCTTTCTTACTAAAGACTCACTTCAAATAATTCTCATATAGTAATTGAAGATATGATGTATTCCAAAGTAAATTTGATATCATTTGCTTGAGCACATATCTTTGTCTACTATAATTGTGATAGCTACATTTCAAACAGGACACGATGTCTAGAATATTGTAAGCGAATGATCTAATCATGTTTTAATCATGTTGTAATCATGTTAAAACGTATGAATACTCATATCTTTGTATTACAGACAGAGATGAATGTCAACGCTATGGAAAGAAAATCTGTCATAATGGTTACTGTGTTAACACACCTGGGTCATTTTATTGTCATTGTAATACGGGATATAGGTTTCACAAACCCAGCAAACAATGCATTGGTAAGAAGTAATTTCCTCTCATTATATGATGTACAGTTCTTAGTATTACTTGACATACACATATTCTGTATAATGATGTCTATTGTGACCCTGGCATATAACATAAGATCAGTTTGTGAAATTGAGCCGTATTTTCGGATGTAATTGTTTGGTTCAATGCAGAATTTGTATAACTATCATGATTGAATCTTAAAGGGGTTGTTATTAAAAGAGTCGACAAACAAGTTATCAATTCATTTAATATTTGAGGAAGTTAAAATAATGCTAGTTCAAGTTACTAAACCGAAGACTTGATATGTCTTGTTTAATTAATACGAAAGGTTTCATACTCTCTTGTCATTGGTTGTAAACGGGCATTAGTTACGATTAAGATAAAAAAAAAAAATTTACAAAAATAAATGTAGAATGTTGAAAAAGAAATGATATCAACCTTCCCTATTTCACTTGGCCTGGTAGATCTTTTTTCATCAACAAGAAATAACTACTCTTAAAACTCTGCAGTATCATATTCTAACATGTCAGGAGCCTGTAAAATAGTATAACAACAATACTGTACTCCAAGGTAAATTCAAGAAGGGGAAGTTTTTAAAAACTGACAAAATCAACGCTACAAGTGAAAAACTACTGCCAAACTCCTGACTTTATACATGCATTTTCCAGTGGTTATTGTTGGTTCAATGTCTCTCATATTTGATTTTTGTAAATGTATTGTATAAATTGAGCCGTTAGTTTTCTCGTTTGAATTGTTTTACATTTTTTATGTCGGGGCCTTTAATTGCTGACTATACTGTATGGGTTTTCTCATTGTTGAAGGCTGTACATTGTCCTATAATTGCTTTTATCTTCGTCATTTGAACTCTGGTGGATAGATGTCTCATTGGCAAATCCATATAAATATCAATATAGAATGTATTTGTCCTAAAACAAAGGTAGGAGGTCTTTCAGTTGAAACGTTGAACATTATTTTATTGTTGGCTTCCGGTCAAACTTTTTGTCTAAGAGAGGCCGAAGGTACGAAAAAATAACAAGATTAGATATCTAGAAGTCTTTAAGGGTGTCAAAATGTCTGCCACATGCATGACATCGATATATAAATTCTCAATCGACAAAAAATTATCACACTAGATGTACGGTGATCACAATATTTTTCAATTTATCTTCTGAAAGTAGTTTTATACGGGCTATCCTTCTTTTTTTATTTAAAATTCTTACATAATGTTTTCCTTCTAGTAATGTGATAACGCTTTTTCAATGTATATATATAATTCTTACGAAATATGGGAAGTTTGTACTGCACGTAGCTTGTAAAAAAGCCTGGTTCCATAATCGTTTCATGATATTTTCTTAAATAGAACAATTCAAAGTATCCCATTTTGTTTATATTCACAAACACAAATGTCGTTCGTACAACACAAATTATTATGTTTTCTATTGTCCATTCCATACCCTATTTCTATCATTTATTTTCAGATACAAATGAATGTAAAGATAATAATGGAGGATGTGAAGATGAGTGTGTGAATACCATAGGATCATTCTACTGTGTGTGTAACCACTTAGGATTACAAGAAAACAATGGAACATGTATTGGTATTGTATTATAGTACCATATCAATAAAGACAACAGTAGCTATCCGATATTCAAATATCATAAATAAAATAAAATAAATAGGAGTTTAACGAGCTTAGTCAAACCATTCTGATTTTTCTAAAGAAACATGAGTCAGTAAAGTATTGTCATTGTGACCTAGATATCCCATTTAAATGAGAAAGAAGTGGATATAAGAGGTATGTGTACTTGAGACGTTTTCCTCAGGAACTTGCATATCACAAGAACAAATAAATCCATAAGTAATTTTCCGATGTTCAAATCTCGAAAGTCGATTTAAATATACAAACCTTGATTTAAAAACAAGATGATGAAATCGTATCAACTCCAAAATTCGTGCCCGGAGCAAGACTGAGTGGCACTTAAATAGCTTTTCTTCATCTTGACATCTCCTGATTTCTCAAGATATATATATCAGATATTTGAGATAGATTTACATTATTTTCATTGCAGATTTTATTCTTATATTTAAAACAGTTTTACTTACCTAAGGGAGATAACTGTAATTTCTAAATTTTTCATTGATCTCTGACCGACAGTTTGAACTATTTTTTTGTAGATATAAATGAGTGCGAGATAAACAATGGTGGGTGTGAGGATATTTGCATTAACTCCCATGGATCATACCACTGTTTGTGTGAAAAGTATGGTTATATTGTTCACAGCAATGGTCGGAATTGTACAAGTAAGCATAGAATTAATGACGTTTGACACGTTCATTGCGATATGCAATACAACTTTTCAGGTACATTTAATATGAGCTATGTTGGAACCAATGAAAGTATATAGATAATACTTTATCACGACCGATTTTTTCTTTTGGTAAAGTAATTGTTCCTTTTACTTTGTTTGCTCTTTTTTGTTTGCTCTTTTGTAGAGGTGTTAGCTTTTTTCTATTAGCAATTGGTTTAATTTTGAACTAATGAATAAATATATGAACATTTATATAGATAGCACATACAATCGGCGAAAAAACTTCTTAAAATTATCTAAAACTCATTTAATCTCTAATTTCTAATACATAGATTTTTCTTAAAAAACTATATGTTGTTGATACATAAATTTCCGTTTTAATGAGATAAAATAATCATATGGTCATCGACTTCAATCAACTGTTAGTTGGTAGTGAAAAACGTCGAAAATTAACGTTTTATGGCCTGCAACGCGATGACGTTACGATTATTTCGACGTGTTGTGGTATAATGTCAACATAGAACACAACTACGAATGATGTATACCGTAAAAACAAATTCGTTCGAACGTAGAGGTTGTAACTTTTGTTTTCTTTTGTTTAGCATGCAAGCCAACAGAATATATGATTGACGACAAGAAACTTTGCATACCCTGTCCACCAAATTCACATGCAAAGAATTTTACTGCAAGTTCATTTTCTGATTGTGAATGTAACCAAGGGTTTCTTGGTAGCCCACTTGATGTTGTTCTATGTGAAGGTCAGTCAACATAACGTATAAGCATCTGTCAAGTATCCAGTGTTTCGGTATTTTATAATTTAAACAAAACTTTATTTCTGTAAATGATCAGTGCATACAACTATTATTTGTTACAAAACTAAGATAGTAACTCCCTCATACCAAGATAGTCAAATAGAATGGTTTTGACTGAATTAATCCGCTTTTGTTTTTTTTGGTCTCGAACGTTTTATTTTTGTTGTTTATTAATTTTGAATTTGGCCTCAGGCTGACCACAAATTTACATGTCAACTTTTTTCAGACATAGATGAATGTGCTAGTGGCGAATTATTATGTGAATATGAATGTGAAAATACTGCCGGTAGTGCCCACTGCATTTGTCCGGACGGGTATTCAGTGCACAATGTCACATATTGTAAAGGTAATTTTATCTTATCAGAGCCTTAATTAGACTTTCATATCAACCATGACAGAACCGCCGGATGTGACGTCCCCTCTAACCATTTCCACTACCGCATACGATCATATGTATAATAACTTGTAATGCAATTGTTACTGTAGGTTCCGGCAACTATGATATTATAAACTAGTAAAAAACACATAGCTCAGACGACGATAATGTTGCCCCGAGTTATCTCGCTATACCAATCTGCTCTTCCACACTATAATCTATGCGGGGAAATTTCTGTTAAATTTGTTCACAACTTGTATAGGGTCGAGAGCTTGACATCGAAACAAATAAGCTCAATGTATCTCGAAGCAGTTTTGATATAAAAGACTAGTAATCTAATTGAAAGAATGAGAATAATTGTCTGTCGTAAATTAATTCAACAGTAGTTGACTGAGTTTCATATCTCATTAATCGACTAAGAAAAATCGACAAACAAATCTTTAGGGAATCGCATGGACTCAAAATGAGCGCGACTGGATGCATGCGTCGACAAGGTGAGCGTTTGCTGCTATTCATGCATTAGCTGTCATTCGAATCCACATTCAGTCAAAATGTCACAATTGGGAAACGATCACAGTCGGTAAAATTACAGATTAGACGATTATTCTGGTATCTTAAGATCTAAGACTGTGAAAACATGTCGCAAGAGAGTTGAGACCTAGAAATATCGTATCGGTCAATCAATTCGTGATGATGACTATAAAATTTATGTAGCGTCGATTTCATTTGTATTTCCTCATAACTCTGTTGGAGCAGCTTTTGTGTAAAGTGTACACCCCCGCTTATGAATTGGTATAATGTAAACATGCACGAGCGAACCTATCAGTTGAGATATGTAAACGCCATATTTTGTGAATTGGATTCTGACTTATAGATGCTTTCTTCATTCATTTGTGTTCCGACAAGCATCTATACTAAATATCTTCTTTATTAACCTGTGATAGTGCTGTATAAAACGAAAGATTTCTTTAAAAATATAAGCACTAAATTTTACCAAATTTAACAAATAAATGTTATTTTTTTATTTTAGTAAGTTTATATTAGAAAATTACAAAAAAAACATGTATGCTATGATAGTATGTATATATTTTTGTGTTATTGTTTCAAGACACGGACGAATGTGCAGAAAATGGGACCATTTGTGATGGTTTATGTCAAAATTATGATGGTTTTTACGAGTGCTTTTGTGATGTGGGATACAGGCTGGCTAACGATAGTTATACATGTTATGGTAAGGAAATTTAGGCATCAGTAATTTATTTATTTTCAAAGTAAGTAATTTTTTGACAAAGCATGATAAGATGGGTATGAACATCAAGGAAATTCTCGGCATTCCTCTTTCTTAATTTTATACGTTATTCATACATCAAAGGTTTTATTCAAGACCGCATATCCAATTGTTTTGCAGAAGGAACTTCTTTACTAATTTCTGTATTCTTCCCTTCTCAAATATAATGAATGTTCTTATGTCGCTTTTAATGTATAATGTATATGTTAATGTTGATTTGGTGTGTTTCTACATAAAGAATAACAATGAATCGTCAAAGTAGAAGTATTGTGTGATGTTGATTGTTAATTATTGTAGAACTTATTATGAGTGTTTTTGTTCATACTTTTTCTGACTTTTTTTTTGAGCGACTATATTCAACTAGTATTCATAGCTAATTAAGTTAAGTTTTCAGTAGAAGATACTCTATTTGACACCGCTGTATAACTGACGTGCCTTCTCTTATTTCCTTGTTAAAGTAAGTTAAATTTTCTACGGTTTTTATTTTAAATAGTACGACTTTATCATGTTTATAAATAGGTACGCTTTACAAAGTTGTTACAAACTGTATCAATTTATTTTACTTAGTATAAGTAAGTAAGATACTGCAATCTGTCCTAGCTGATGGCGTTACCTATTCTGTAAACCCTCGTGTAAACCAACTAATGTGTAATACTTGGGTCTTCTCTTTTATAATTACATCAAGAAAATAAATAATCCGCAAAGCAAGTGGAAAAGGGGTATATGAAATAAAGTATTCGCATAAATTAATTGTTTTACAGTATCTTATTTGACAGAATGTGCTAGAGCATGTTCTCGTAACGGAATTTCACATATATAGACGAATAAAGGAGAATATACTTCAATGAGACGACAACCACACGAATATTACATGTACACTTTTAGCTATGAAAAGCACAATCATGGTAACGATTGCAGATATAAGTTTGATATTACCAAGCCTTAAGTTCTACGATCGAAATCATGTGTTTGTTGATCGTTTTAATGTGTTGATTTATTAGACATCAAGAGCCATATCAACTGTATCACTGACCCCATATCACCATTGCTGTCCATTTCACGTAAAAATAGATTTATTTCATTTACCGTGTTTTTATATTTGCTATGACGTTTAAAAAGTAGGTTACGCATAGATAATCAGAAGACGAGATGCTTACCCTGTCAATTCACTGGATCTCTTTCTGTTAAAGGTTCATACAATTATGTTCGCAGTTGTCAGTTGATTTAATTTGCTGTGTTGTCAGACATGTCTGGGTTTTGCTTCTTATTTAGATCATCACTATTTATGCAGCATTTTAGATTAAGTAAACACAACGTTAAGTTTTAGAATAAAAACATCATGAACTTGAAGTAATGAAATGTTTTTTTGGGTAGTTCTGTTGCTTTGTTTTATTTTGTACATTATATTTTTTTACTGTAAATAATGATGGCCCTAAACATAATCTATGATGCCTGTGCATTTCAAAAGAAGAAGTAAGTTATACCTCGAGCTCACTGAGGAGATCTTAATTTTCTGAAATTCGCATCTGGTGCAGTAAAATTTGTACCATCTAATATCATGTCTACCACTATGTCAGTACCTCAGCTGATAGCCTGTTTGTCTATGAGTGAATCAACAGTCCAGTAGGTCTGATCAGTTAATTAGAAATAGCATGACCATGAACATGCGGAAATGTTATTGAAATTTGCTGTAATAATCATCGGAACAAGGGAAATATTTCATGGGTAGCAGTGATTCCTTTTTTGCTATAAATTTGCTCCTTTTATGTCATACCAGCTCTTCAACGCGTGTACTATGTTCTTCGAATTTGACATATTTTGACCTCGAACATCACTGAACAGACAATAATTTTTGAAAATGCGCATTTGTTGACGTAAAAATGATACAGTTTAATGTTTATTCTAGAATGTCAATATCATGCTGGTGAACTATTAGCTTCCCAATGGTATCATGCTGGTGAACTGTTAGCTTCACGATGGTTCACTAGTCCAGTATGCCAGTACGTTAATACTGGCATGAATAAGTACGGATTTTGTTTTCTTGCTATTACAAAAAGGAGACAGAAGATCTCATTAGGACAATCAAATATTATAAGTCGAAGCAAAACCATGGTAAAAAAAACCCTAGAAAAACGATGAAAATCTAAACAACAGTCTGCAAAACACTATATAGATAATTTACAGGGGTGATCTCGGTGCTCCATTATGGTAAACAGATCCTGCTCCACATGTGGCGCCCGCCCGTCGTGTTGTTCATGGCAAATACAAATTCGGAGATAATTCTCATTCGGTGATGCCACAATCGAGAAAAAAAGGACAGCATTGTGGCTACTACAAACATCCATGGTTTTTTGTGACACAATTTTTCCATAACGGTCAAACAAAGCATGACGGTGTGTGTAAAACATTCGAAGGGATGACTTAAATTTCACCACTAGGGACCTTTGTTTCAATAGCTTTCTTGTAAGCAGTAACCCTCTTTCAAAGAAATCATGATGATAAATGGAAGCTCTAAAATATTGTATCAACCAACTGGGAGATAAAAAGAATCAATAAAAATTCACAATTACAAAGCTAAAATCATCAGTTTTAGTTACAAAAATTAAGAAATCATTGGAATAAAGGAAGCTATCACAATGGTACATAGATCTGATTCCTTATCCCCGTCTTGGCTATACTTTGTTTTTTTCGGTTATATCAGCTTTTAATGTTTGTGTTAGGTTTTGAATTCTCAAATGCGTTGACCTTAAGCATCATTGAAGATTTATAAAATGTCGAAATGCGCACCCGGTACTGTAAAATTCGAACATTTAAATGTTATTCCAACCTGAAAAAAACAAAACAAGAACTAAGTTCATAAGTACATTTAATCACTTACTAGAGAGTTACCATTTTGTGGTTTTGGATAGATTTGTATCTCTTATATTACAAAATATTAAAGAAATGCCTTTATAGAGTAGATTTGATAATAACTGTTAGACATAAGGAAAAGCCAATTTGTCATAAAAAAATGGACTGGCATGCAAGCCCATGACAACGAAATAATAGACAATAACACGGAACAAGACCATTGAACTATTGAATGATCATGAAACTTATAATAACAATGCTGATTATATATATTTATCGGTCGTCCCACTGTCTATATCATTCTCCTCCGCTCTTAATAAAATTGCATATCACGGTTTTGTGACGTCAAATACTTTGACCCGGCCTTAATAAATTTGACCCAGACATATCACCGACATCATAATGAATGAACCGACGTTGACTCGAACTTATCAATTCAGCTTCCGGTTTGCTGATGCCGGTTTGCTGGTGAAACAAAGAAAACACTTGTTTCTATAATGCAAAATACACAAATACAAGTCGATAAATCGATTATCTGGTTGTCTGCATATTGATACAGTAAAATATCAGCAGACAACCTGATAATCGGTACATATCTTTCTCTATAAAATATCATATAATTGTAGATATAGACGAATGTTCTGAAGGCTATAATTGTTCGCATCGCTGCATTAATACTGTTGGGGGTGTCCAGTGTAGTTGCTATGAAGGATATGATTTTCTCTCTGACAATACAAGTTGTAAAGGTAAGATAATCCCTTTACTGGATAAATCTTAAGTAAGAATTTATTATTCATATGATTATAATATATGCGTGTCATATTTCCAGAAAATCAATACAATCCGTTTTATAATAAGAACTATGGCGCGGAATTAGGGTCATAATTATCGCTTTTAGCATATGCTAAATCCATTTAAGCTTATGCTGAAATGATTTTAGCATAAGCTAAACTCATTTTAGCATAAGCTAAATTCATTTTAGCATAAGCTAAATTCATTTTAGCATAAGCTGAATTCATTTTAGAATAAGCTAAAATCAATTTAGCATATGCTGTAATGTTCAGCTTATACAGAAATGTTGGCGCGGAATCAAGGTCATAAATATTAAACTTCGCATATACGATCAATGAATTTAGCTTATGCTAAAATGAATTTAGCTTATGCTAAAATGAATTTAGCTTATGCTGAAATGATTTTAGCTTATGCTAAAATGATTTTAGCTTATGCTTAAATGAATTTAGCTTATGCTAAAATGATTTTAGCTTATGCTAAAATGATTTTAGCTTATGCTAAAATGATTTTAGCTTATGCTAAAATGAATTCAGCTTATGCTTAATTAATTGTGTTATCCAATGAAAATCTCGCTTTCTTAACTACTTTTATGCTTTACTCTGGCATAAATAAATAACCATTTTTCTCAAATCAATAAAGTTCTATTTTTCACAACACATGTACATCTATGGTAACAATAAATCAAGAGAACAAATCAAACTAATAATATACAATTCAATTACGGACTGCAATCCGCATATACACATAACCCAATAATTGGTAAAGGAGAGATAACTCTCTTAAAAATATGCCAACTTGTCCAAACGTCTTGACCATACCAAACTGAAATATAAAATTCCTTTGAACAAATAAACACACCCCGGTTGTTTTCAATGGTCAAGGCGTTTAGGTCATTTAAAAAAAATCAAAAATTCAATAATGTCATAAACAAATATGCCTTTTTACGTCTTCAATCTATTATTCAATCAATATCAAATCTTTGTATACTATACTAAAAAATCACTATCTACTGCATATTCCACTGTAAAATTGGTTATACAGAGCAAACTTTAATAAATGATGACAGCAGCAGAAACCTTGGCTCTTATTGGATGGAATTATATTAAAGCAACACACTAGCCATATACGCTGCCTCAACAAATACAACCATTAAAATAGGTTATTTCTGGTATTCTACACACAGTCCGTCATTACAAATGACAACACTTTAAATGCAGTATTTTTTCTCTTAATTGCCTAAATGCAATAAATGAAAGCAATCTCTAATGTTAATATATGATTTCATATTCAACAAAATGAATTACTAAAATTTAAAACTTTTACTACTAAATTAACTTCTCTTCACTCAAATCGTAAGCCTGAAAAAAATATACATTGAAGGATAAAACTTCAATAAAAATTCAAGAACAGTAAATTTGAAATAAAAATCTTTTGAAAACTGCTATCATAGCAATACTGAAGCAAATATTCTCTCGAAATTTTAATAATAAAACAAATCTATTCAAAACACCTTTCCGTTAACTGACACCCATTACATTGTCAATTACTTCCTTTTTCTCACAAAATTATCACTTTCTATTTGTACACATATTTTTACTTTTAGACACATTTTATAAAACCAGACACATTGTTCTTTTAAAGAATTCAGTACTTCAAATATTTCTTGTCACAAAATAACATCTGCGTATTACGATAAACAAATCAACATTGTCATAAAACGTCACAAAACATAATTCAATAATGTTCATAATAAAATACACTACTAGTCAGCACATGGCGGTTGTTTTGTTTGTACTATCTTTTGTGTGTGTGAATTAATCTGTTCGAATGGTATCCATAATGCATTCTGTGTCGGTTCGCCTTTAAATTGCACACGTTATTCTGTTTTTCCATTTCTTTTCCGTTGAGATAAAATTCGCTTCACTTTATAATAAGTGTCTGATTGGGTCGTAAACTCATCGGAAGAATTTGTATTGTATCCAAAGATAACATTTGAAAACGAACAGGATGTTTGCGAGATCGTGTTGAAAGACGCACAACCGCCATGGCTGCCTTATGTTGATGATCATCATAATATGCTGTGGTCACAACATTATTATGCAGTGGTCACAACATCATATGCAGTAATCACAACATTATATGCAGTCGTGCCAACATTATATGCAGTCGTGCCAACATTATATGCAGTTGTCGGAACATTATATGCAGTGGTCACAACATTTAATATATGCAGTCGTGATAGCATTATATGCAGTTGTCGGAACATTATATGCAGTGGTCACAACATTATACGTGTTTTGTTGATGAAGGTGATGATCAGTGATGGTGATGATGATAATTGATGTATGTGATGGTAAACTTCGGACAAATTTTATCGGAAATTACCGAATCCTGTCACAATAAATAATGCCCCGCAAACAAATTGAAAAATTATTGAAATCATGTTATCATTTAGGCAATTCGATTGAAACTTTATCAGGAAAAAATAACGCCTGCTATTGTCTGCAAATTGGACAGACACCATTTTATAAATATAGGGGAGGTTCATTCTGACTGAGGAAATGATGAAACTAAGAGTTGAATGGATTAACCATAGTTTCTGTTCGTCCTAAGAAATACGCATGGCTTAATTGATGTAAAATAATAATGAATTATCGTTATTATGTATCTTAACGGAGAACTATTGTTTTACTGTGAACTCTTCTCGTTGTTAATTGTTATTTGTGTTCTAATTCTTCTCACAAACAAGCTTGTCTTTAGTCTGGATATTTCTGTTATTTTTGATAACAAAATGTTTTCCATATCCCATGTTAGGATCATGTCAGAGGTTGAAAATTTCATATCTGAATATTTTTCGTTATCTGGAAATTTACTTTTTATGGTGGTTCTGTGTTCTTGTTTCTGTGGGGCTTCTTTCTCTTAGATGAGAAAATTATCTAAAAACCATGAATTTGCATCTGTAGTACTTTGACCACCCACTTTACTACAGGTTAACCAGTTAATAGGTCGAACGATGATCCAAGTAACCTGGTAGGCAAACATTTAAGGAAATTTAGGAAAGACTTTAAACAAAACAAAGTGGCTGCTCGTGTCTAGTTCCATCCATTGATTTGTTTGGTATCAAAGATAGGGAAGGCTATCAACATTTTTTTCGTTTTTCTGGTTTTACGGGAATTGATAATCATTACAAAAATGTAAATATTTCGGGGCCTTTTATAGCTGAATATGCGGTATGGGCTTTGCTCATTGTTGAAGGCCGTACGATGACCTATAGTTGTTAATTTCTGTGTCATTTGGTCTCTTGTGGAGAGTTGTCTTATTGGCAATCATGCCACATCTCTTTATTTATATATATAGAATGAACATTGAAATTTAATAAATTACATGAAATTCCGTACAACATATATACATATCTTAATATTATTAAACTAGAGGATCATGTGATCTTAAGCTTTTATCGTTCACTTGATCTAAATATGATCATTGTTGGTTTTAAGGAACACATAATTGAAGCTTTTTCTATTGAAGCGTATTTTATACTTTATACAGTGGACCTATAGTGCTTGGTTCCCAAGGGCATGAATTTCTTCAAACTAAAATCTTCACGGCCACCCTACTGAAGCTTCTTAGGATAATCTAACATCTTACATAGCTTACATTACCAACCAGGTCATGTACTTAACTTGACTTTCAACCGTACAGTAGTGGCTTCGATATAACCCTTTACTTATAATCTTATACCGAAATCTACATGCTAAGGACCCTGTACCTTACACATTCTCAGTCAAACAATCATGTACTTCATATGAGGTTTTGGAAGAAGGTAAATTCAAAACTAAATTGAGTGTACACTTCTCAGAATTCTTATCGAACTATTTCATTCGTGTAAAAAATCGAACACTGCCTTTTATAATAACTAGCAATTAACTGATAGACAGACATTCTGCATTAAATAAATGAAAGTATAACTTGTTCCTCTTTTTGTAAAAATCTACATAACTTTATAATATAAAAGGTTTTTTTACATTTTTCAGTTGTTTACTTACTAATTATATCAAATTTTAATCACTTGCTATGTACGGATGTTCCAGACCATATATAGATATAGGAAGATGTGGTATGAGTGCCAATGAGACAACTCTCCATCCAAGTAACAATTTATAAAAGTAAACATATGCCCATTTCAAATTATGTATACGATCTGTACGTGCGCGGTCTGTCTAATTTTAAGAAAATTGTCACTCAAATCTAGAATTAATAAGAATAATTGAAATTAAAAGTTTTAATTAAATACAAAAGTCACGTTACATTGTAAATTTATCAGTTAATTTCCTATATTAAGGATGAAATTGTGTTAAAATGCTCAAGACGTTAAGCACAATGTTGGTGACGTTTTCTGATTTCACGTACCTGACACCAAAATTCGGCTTTAAATTAGATAAATAAAGGAAGGATCTAAATTTATTATACTTACAAAATCTTTAAAGATCGTAAGAAATTTAGTTACAGATGGCTTATCGTTTTTCATTAAGTTTTGTCGATCAATTTTCCGAATACTAACAAGAAAAATCTTATTTTGTGTTGTTCTTCGAGTGCTCCTCCTATTTTCGGGTTCTTAATAGTAGATAAAGTATAACAATGCTATACCATTTGAGATAGAAAAGTTAGGGCTTTAAGAGGACATGTGTGTAAGACGTAAATAAAGCAATTTTCGAACTGAGTAGGCCTTGTAAGAAGTCATTATTGGTTGTAGACACCAAGGAAAAATATCACTCCCCTACGGCACAACAGTTCAGAATGCATTTATATAGCTAGAGGATTATGTTCTCAAATTGGTGATAGCGTATATCTTTTTGTAAAATAAGTTTGGAAAACTCTTTTAAAGCACAGAAATCCAATGTAAACGAGCGATTTCCATGAAAACCTCGACATCATTACCGAAGACCTAGCACAA